AGATGAGCCTCCGTCTCAAAAAAAAAAAAAAGAAAGAATGAAAGAAAGAAAAAGAAAACATATCCAAAATATACGAGGAACTCTTGATACTCAACAATAGGTAAATTAAAAAGTTAGAAATAGGTAAAAGAGTTAGATGAATGGTTTACCAAGGAAGATATAAAAATGGAAAATAAACACATAAAAAGATGTTTCATATCATTTGTTATTAGAAAACTGCAAATTATAACAATGACATATCAGTGCATACTTACTATTATAGCTAAAATCCAAAAGTAAGAAAATATGAAGTACTAGCAAGGACATGAAACAACAGAAATTTATTGCTAATAGGAATGCAAAATGGTATAGCCACTTTAGAAGAAAGTTTGGCAGTTTCTAATAAAGCTAAATATAGTTTTACTATATGATCTAGCAATTATGCTCCTAACTATTTGCTAAACTGATTTGAAAACTTGTGTTTACATAAAAACCTGTATAATAAAGTTTATGCCAGTTTTATATTATTCATAATTTTGATTATTCATAATTACCAAAAACAGAGAAGCAAACAAGATATCCTTCAATAGATGAAAAACCAAACAAAATGTGATGTATCAGACAATGGGATATTCAGTGATAAGAAGAAATAGCTATCAAGGTACACAAGGCATGGATGAACTTTAAATGGATATTGCTAAACCAATCTCAAAAGGCTACATACTAGATGATTCCAAATATATGACATTCTGTAAAAGGCAAGTGCTACAGTGAGATCAAAATCAACAGGAATAAAGCATATTGACTGCATATACCATTGATACCCTTGACATATATGTACACTAAAATGGCACTTTCTGTGATCTTCCTCTCAGAAACATATTACCATAGTCTGATCATGAGACAAACATCAAACAAACCCCAATCAAGAGACATTCTACAAAATACCTGATCAGTGTTTCTCAAAATTGTCAAGGTCATCAAAAACAAGGAATGCCGACTTCCACTCAAGCTTGGTGTTTGGTCAGTGGGGGGACCCACACATGTTCAACATGCATATTGAGAAGTGTTATTTCTGTTTGGAGCTAATCTGCCCTGGCCACGGCATGATGTCTATCCACAATGATCACAAGGTGTGCAGATTTTGTAAATCCAAATGCCATAAAACCCTCAAAACGAAGTGCAATCCTTGCAAGGTCAGGTGGGCTAAAGCATTCTGGAAAGCAGCTGGTAAAAAGCTTACATTAAATAATTCATTTGAATTTGAAAAACAGACATGAACCTGTCAAATACCAGAGCGAGCTATGAAATAAAACTACTGATGTAATGAAGAGAGTTGAAGAGATCAAACAGAAACATCAAGCTAAATTTATAATGAGCAGATTGAAAAAAAATAAAGAGCTACAGAAAGTTGAGGACATCAAAGAAGTCAAGCAAAACATCCATCTTATCTGAGCCCCTCTTGCAAGCAAAGGAAAGCAGCTTGTGGAGAAAACAGTACAGCAATTACAAGAGGATATGGACATGGAAGATGTTTCTTAAAAATTTTACTGTCTATAACCATTTCTATATTTACATTTGAAAATGTCCTTTGGAGACTAGAACTTCTAAGTTATTGATTTATTTTTTACATAAGGTTACTCAAATGAAAGGAGATTAAAAATGTATCTCCTCTACTCGAGAGGCTGAGGCAAGAGAATCACCTAAGCCCAGGACTGTGAGCAGTGTGATGCCACAGCACTCTACCGAGTGTGATAAAGTGAGACTCTCTGTCTCTAAAAAAAAAGTTGGAAAAAAAAAAAAGAAGAAAAATAAAAATAAAAAATGTATCTCCTACATTTCTGTCCATAAAACATCGATAGTATGGATATCTGATTACATCTCAGTGTTAACCCTTCGCATATAGATGTGCTTCCATAAGTTATGCTAATACAGAAGTGAACTGTGGGCACAAAATGGTCATGTCATTGGATATTGGCCCTAGATAGCATTTATGTAGTAACTAAGGACAAAAGTTCTGGCTAGTGATACGCAAAATAAAATTGTCTTTGCAGTACAATAATCCCTTTATTAATCTTATACAAGGGGGGATACAAGAAGGAACGGTGACCATTAGCTTCCAAAAATATCTTTTATTTTGATCAGTATCTCCTGTTGTGGGTTATTAGCATTTTTCAAGAGCCTTGTATCATGAAGCCTATACTGAACTGTTTTGGCCTGGTTTAACTGTTCTAATAGGTAGTTTTGAATGTTGAGGATGAAAGCTGAATAAACCCACACAGACAACTGACCTTCTACACAGATGCAAAGCAATTCAGTGAAGAAGGAATAGTCTTTTCAACAAATGGTGCTGGAACAACTGGACATCCATATGCAAAAATGGGAACTTCGAGTTACACTTTACAGCATATAGAAAAATTAACTTGAAATGGCTCACAGTTCTAAACGTTAAGAGCTAAAACTATAAAATTGCTAGGAGAAAAATGAGAGAAAATTCAGTGACCTCATGCTTGACAAAGGTTTCTTTAAAAAACACAAAATGCTACACATAAGTTTTTAAATCAATTAACTTCACTTAAAAATCTTTTGCTTTTTTAAAAGAGAAATAGTTTCAAACATAAACCTGAAAAAAGACTTATATCTAGAATACATAATTTAATAACATAAACTAAATGAAACTATACAGAAGATTTGAACAGATATCAATAAAAAAGATATATGGATGGCAAACAAGCACATGAATGGACACTAAAAGTCATAAGTCATTAGAGAATGGCAAGTTAAAACCATACTACATACCTATTAAAATGGCTAAAATTAAAAAGATACTGTATACCAAGTTGGTGAGCTTTTTAACTATTGGAACACTCATACACTACTAGTGTGAATATAAACTAAAATAATATAATCAATTTAGAAAATTGATTATAATGGTTTTGTCAAATGAAACATAAATCCATCATATAACTCAGTTATTCTACTTGTATGTTATTTATTCAAGAGATATAAAACCATGTCTACACAAAGACTTAATATAGAATGTTCTTACCAGCTTTATTTATTAGAGCCCCAAATTAGAAACAATCCAAATGTCTATGTGTATATCCATACAATGCAGTACTCCTTAGCAACCAAAAGGAATGAACTGTTTGTTAAACATGACAATAGGAATAAATCCCAAAGTATTTATGCTGAGTGGAAGCAGGCCAACAAAAGCATACATGCTGCATGATTACATTTATATGAAATTTTAGAAAATTCAAAACAATCTCTTTGGGCTTATCACCTGTAGCTAAGTGGTTAGGAAGCCAGCCACATACACCAGGGCCGGTGGGCTCAAACCTGGCCTTGGCCTGCTAAAAACAACAATGACAACTACAACAACAAAAAATAGCTGGGTGTTGTGGCGGGTGCCTATAGTCCCAGTTACTTAGGAGACTGGGGCATAAGAATCACTTAAGCCCAAGAGTTTGAGGTTGCTGTGAGCTGTAACCTCATAGCACTCTACCAAGAATGATACAGTAAGACACCGTCTCAAAAAAAAAAATCTCTATAGTAGAGTCTCAGCCTTCCCAGTAGCTGGGACTACAGATGCATAACACCACACCTAGCTAATTTTTGAAAAAACGTTTTTTTGGCTACATTGCCCAGGCTGGTCTCAAATTCTTGGCCTTAAAGTGATTTCAGCCTCTCCCGATTATTACATAACTATTAGAATATTTTTAAAAATTATTAAAATGCTTTTGAAAGTCTTCCAAAGTCATGGAAAAATGCTTATAGTATATAATTAAGTGAAATTGGTCAAATATAAAACTATATAGGAGCTGGTCCCAATTACATAGAAAGCTTATGTAATAAGTGAAAACAGACAAATTTCTGGTTCAAAAAAGATCTATATTAATAGTAATTTTCCCTGGGTTATACAATCATGGGTAATTTAAATTTTCTTCACACTTTTCTCTATTTTCTGTATTCCAAGGTTTTCTTTGTTATACTGTCATCTTGTCTTATTATTATTGTTTTATTTGAGCTTGCAATATTCTTATAAACAGGAAAGGAAAAAACAAGTGAAGGGAAGGAATTTGAGTGATTATCTGTCCTGCCAAGTGATTCCAACCTATGCACCACATGTTCATAGATCTATTGAAGTGTTACTGAATCTACAGAACCTCTATTTCTTACACTGACAAACAGTAAAACCACTAACCTAGAGGTCTTCAATGACTCAGTCCTCCCAGACTTACTGCCTGTATTGATGTTTCTTCTGCTACCATACTAGTATATAGAAAGGACTAGGACAGTATTAGCATTCAACTAATAGATGTTCGATTACATGCTCCTCTTTCTCTGCTATGGCTTTTCTGTAAATTGTAACCCACCCTATTTATAAGCAACTGTCAAACCTAGGCCTGATGTTTTCTTATACTATTTATATCCCAGAATAGAATTTAAAGTTATAAAGGTAAACTAAATAATCAAATGCTAAAGTCACATATGCTCCGTAACCAGAAGGACTTTGTAAACGCTATTTCAGTTAAACACTGAAGTCTTTTGCAAATACGTGGGTAATTACAAAAGTTTCAATATACATAAAAATCAAGAAACATAAAACCCTCATAGATAGAAATAAATGAAACTCTCCTAGCAACACAGATAAACTGAGCAAGTTGAAACTGGCATGGGTAAATCAAAAAGGATGCTGTGCCTGTGTTTCTTGGAAGTGAAATAATGGACCATAACATAGTCTGTCTAAAAACATTTATAAGTAAGATTACTTAGAAGTGCAAGTCATAGTTGTGTAGCATGTCTAGTCTGTGATGGATCTTAGAAAAATTGTTCAATGTGTGCTGAATTTTCTACTATTAACTGAAAAACTATGATTTTATAATATTATTATTATTATTATTTCATAATCTCTTGGAAGTTAAAGTCAACAAACAATTTTCATTATAAAATATACTATAAAAAACAGAGCTATTAGTTATAGTAACTATTAGTTGTTTAAAGGTAACTGAGTTTACCTCAAAGAATTGTTCTCTGCTTTTTGTCTACCAAGTTCACTTTCAGTATCCATTGCCTTTCTTGCTAGTGATTTCATTTCTTTTTCCACGGTAGTTATGGTTTCCTTCATCAAAGTCATGTTTGACATTTGCTCCATACGTTCATCGTCAAGCTATATGAGTAGAATGACAAGGTTACAGCCATAATTTAAAAAGCCTCAGTAATCTTCCTGAAGAGACATAGTCCCTCTGTAAAAACTGTGATGTATGGCAAGATTTACATGATAGGATGATTAGATTAGACCTAACTGCTGTTGGAGGTTTTATGGGCAAGGTATTGTGTAGAAGGACCAAAAACAAACCACTCTGTAGCTTTTCTATAAAGCCTATCACTGTGTATCAGTCTAAATTTTTCAATCTGGCTCAATTTGACTATAGCATATATATCTTATTTACAAAATAATTTATTTGTTGTTTATTTGTTGTCCAACATAACAAATTACACATGTAAAATGGGATTACAAAAATAAAAATTATTTTTCTCCTATATGATGCTTTTTAAACTCATTATAACAAAATATCACAGATGAATTTATAAATGTATTCAATTAAATTTTGTAACAGAAAGTTAAATGCCCTTATTTCTGTTTATATATTAAAAACATCTTCAATATATATTTCAAATCCTTGATTAGCAAAAGGGTGATGCTTTACCTTTAAACTCAGTTTAAATATATTTTGTTCATTAATTTTTACTTCATTGGCTTGGCCCCTGTGGCTCAAGTGGCTACGGCACCAGCCATATACACCTAAGGTGGCAGGTTCAAATCCAGCCCAGGCCCGCCAAACAACGATGAGGGCTACAACCAAAAAATAGCCAGGTGTTGTGGCAGGCACCTGTAGTCCTAGCTACTCGGGAGGCTGAGGCAGGAGACTCGCTTGAGCCCAGGAGTTGGAGGTTGCTCTGAGCTGTGATGCTATGACACTCTACCCAGGGGGACAGCTTGAGGCTCTGTCTCAAAAAAAAAAAAATTATTTCATTGTAATTTTCTCTGTCCTACTTACCCCTTAGGTAAAAATGTTATCTCTAACAAAATAGGGAGATGGCAAAGTTGCTAAAATCTCTGAGAATGAAACCCTAACTTTTTTTTTTTAAGTATACCCTTTGCAATCTAATACATAAAACCTTTACTCATGTTTTTAGAATGAAATAAGCTAGTGAAAAGGTGACAATTTACACACATTTTAGGACTATACACACTAGTTAGAAAAATAAAAGAACTCCGAACACAGTAGAAGGGAAAGGAAAAGGAAAGCCACTGAGACTTGAGAGTGTACAGTCAAGAGTGATTTTTACATTGTGAACTGTGCACTCCAGCTCCTCTATCCTCTGCTCCAAGTGAGCCTTCTCGTTGAACGCTGTCTCTTGAGCAATCTGTTTAGAAAACACAAACAAAACAACAAAGTGCTTTCAATGTCACTGCATCTGTGTTTCACATATGTTCATACAGATAAAATTCTGTCCAACCTTTAGTCTTTCCCGCAGACTATCTCGTTCTGTGGTCATTCTTCGTAAATCAGTGAAGGCTACATCTCTTTCAGTCTCCACCCGCCGGAGAATAGCATGTGCTGTTGTTGATTTAGGAGACTTACAGCTTTTCATCATTTCTCTTCGAAGTCGGGCAATTTCTTCCTGTGCCTGTTATATAAGTATATAGAATTTTTTAAAATAAGCTTTAAAACAAACATAAATACAGCTCTCTTATATTCAGCCAGTTAAAATGTAAACCTATATTAATATGCATGCAGTGGGGTAATAGTATAATTTTTATTTTAAAATGAGTTTATACAAATAAGTGCAAATAAATATATCTAAATAAATGTTAATTTTCCAGTATCTTTGGAAAAAAATAAGATAAAATAAATTTGAAGGAAGTCACTGAAATAGAATTTTTGCTAAGAAATACAGGTATACCTGGCATATTCCATTTATCCATTCTGCAATATAAATTCTAATTCAGCACAATTCAGGTAGAGTACTGGTTTCATGAATATTATCATAGGTTTTCAGTCTTTCTTTATAAAATGTAATATATACCATTTCCATATCTTGACTACTTTTTACTCTCAAAGAAAGGCCTGCCAATCCTTACTGATAATTCAACATACTCTCTGAACTCATGTTCAACCATCTTTGGGTCCCACATTTATTCCACATCTGCCGATGATTTCATACCCTACTTCACTACGCAAGTCTCTTTATCTTCCTGCCTCTTGATTTTGATCACTGTCTATTCAGCAAGTCCCCAGTTCTCAGAGGAAGACATGTTACTTCCTAATTCCCATAGCTAAGCCTTCACCAGAACTCCAAACCTTATCTTCTTTTTTTTATGGGGGTGGAAGACAGAATGGTAAGCTGAGAGAGATCAGACATGACAACACTCCATTGGTCCTGAGCAGGAAATTAAGGCAGAGGTCCCCAAGAGAGTGAGGCCCCTAGAAACAGGAGGAAGGAACAACTGTCCTAGGACGGGGCTCAGTGAAGCTGACCAGAGGGTGGGAGGAGGCCACAGGTGCTCAGGGCACTGACAGGCTGACCAGGATGGCCACTCCTATCCTCCTGCATGGTGAAGTCACCATGTGCAGCACAATAACAACAGTGACACTTGCCACAGCTCCAGCACATTTTCTTTTCTTTTTTTTTTAATTTTTATTAAATAAAAATAAATTTTTATTAATAGCTTTTATTTTACAAGTTTTAGGTTCATGATAAAAATTAAGCAGAAATTATACAGATCTTCCATATATCCACTGCCCCACCCATTTACAACCTCCTCCACTATCAATATCCCCCCACACAATTGTACTTACCTTACAATCAATAAAACTATATTGAGACAACATTACTATAAGTCCACAGTTTACATTACGTTCACTTTTGATGTTGTACATTCAATGAGTTTTGCCAAATGCAAAATGACATATATACACCATTATAGTGTTATAAACAATGGTTTCATTGCTCCCAAAATACTTTACTATTCATCCATCCTTATACCTAAACCCTGGCAACCAGAACTCACTTCACTACCTCTGTACTTTTGCCTTTCTCAAATTATCATATAGTTGCAGTCATATAATTTGTAGACTTTTTCATATTAACTCTTTTTGCTTAGCAGTATGTACTTAAAGTTCCTCTGTGTCTTTTCATAGTTTGATAGCTTGTATATTTTTAACATTGAGTAATATTCCATTATCTAGATGAATCACAACAAAGTTTATCCATTTACCTATTAAAGGATATCTTTATTTATTTTTTGAGAGTTTAATATTGCACTTTCAATAACGGATAGATAAGTGAGAAAAAAAGGACTTAAATAATACAATAAACCAACTAGATCTGACAGACATATACAGGCCACTCTCCCAAACAACAACAGTAAACATATTCTTCTGAGTGCACCTGGGACACTTTCCAGGATAGACCCTATGTTAGCCATAAATTAAGTCCTAATAGATTTTATTTATTTTTTATTATTATTTTTAGTTTTTTTTTGAACCAGGTTACATTAGTTGTATTTCTTAGGTAAAGTCCCTCTTAAGACTGTGTCCCACCCTGAAAAGGTGTGTCACATACTATGACCCCCCCATTGTCCTTCCTTCCCTCTCTCAGCTCTCCCCTTCCCCCATCCCCTACTGTGTACTAGGTTATTCTTTTTTTTT